CACGGAAATCATAGGTATTTGGTCGAAAAAAAAATCGACCCGCCCTAATGTATATGTTATCGAAGAGATTCAACGGCAATTTTGTAGTAACAGCAAAAAAATGGTCGCAATCGAATCGTACAATGTCCATTTCTGACATATTTTAAGTAGAAACTTTTCTTGGTGATAATTAAAGTGAGTGTTGCATTGACGAATTTATCGTCCTTTTCAATGTGTGTGTGTGTGTGTGAGCGCATCAGTAATCAAACGAAAAGAAAAACCCGTGTGACTCGAAACAATTCTTGACTCGATTCAATGAAAAATATTCATGCCGTACGGATTCGACATGATAATGTTTATATGTTGTGTATCGCGTTGACTTTTCATTTCAAGGTTATCTAAAAATAGTCGAATAGTGAGACGTTTCCATAGTGCTTTTTTGTTTCTTCCTTATTATTTGCTTCGTATTCACTGCTTCAATACTGACTGATGCGGTTCCATGGGCGATGACATGATTTTGAGTCCCAATTATGAATTTTCCCTATATTGGATTACAGAACGCGACGTAAATGAAACTCGATGAATGCATTCGGCTCACTCGCACACATTCAAAATGAACGAAATCAATGCTTAAGACAATTTTAATGAAACCATTGAGTTTTATCAATAATTATTATGTTATTCTTTTCGTTCACAAAAATAGAATAATGACTTGTGTTTTTTTTTCGCAATCTGCATTCGAACAACATCCACACTGTGTGTCTATGTAATTCTTAGCCGTTGATGGTTTTTCTCGAAGGTCAATTAATTGTAATTTCTTTCTTAAATCCCTTCTCGATTTTGAAAGCAGTTGTTTTATATTGATTTTCTGCTTAATTTCTACATGGAAGCCATTTCGACTGCATGAACATGAAAAAAAACATGACGAAAGCAAATTTCATGAAAAAAATTTTCTTGTTATACAATATGCTGTGACTTTGGGCTACATCAAAGCAACCCAGGAGCATCTAAAAATGCTGTTGTTTCGATGATTGAATTTGTGTTTCGATGCATGTGTCTCGATTGGTCGAACACAACACACTTCATACCGAAATAATTCCATTTAAGGGATCAAGGCCACGGCATACATTGCGTACGAAAAATGCATCACATTTTGGAAATAGGTTTCGTCTTCGTCTCTACATGCACACTCACATTCACACATCTTTCCATGTCCTTTTCCATCGAAATAGTTTGGTGTGTTGTAAATCTCCGAATGAGAAATGGAATCAATACAACAACTTCTTTAGGTAGAAGAGACGTTCTTATTCATAAAGTCACAAAATGTGCGTAACGTTGAAGTCAACATATTTGAATTTTGAAAATGGAAGAAATGAAAACACACACACACTCACACAAGTAAAAACAGAGAAAAAAAAATTAAAATAAATAAAAGAACCGAACCAATGAAGAAAATGTGAAAAGAACCCAACCATAGAAGAAAATGTGAAAAGATAAAAAAAACAACATACAGTTTATAGATCGTTTTATGGCTCTGGAAATTCGAAATTATATAGACAATATTGAAATGTCTAGCTTATTATGAGAGAGAGCTAGTGTGTTTTTTCACATTTCATTCGGGTGAATTTTTTGTCACATTTATTACGCTTCATTTTCTGGGTCGAACAGCATTTCTCTCAATTTTTCATACTGATCATCTGATAAATTTTTTTTTCCTGCTTACCTATTGACAATATCAATAAAAGTTTATAATTTTTTTTATTGGCTCGAGTCGATGATTCATTCTGTTTAACCGAAGCGTTGCTTCTTCATCCACCGCCTCGATCACGTCTGCGCATTTTTTTTTTTTGCTTTAAGATCGAAACAATTGCGATTGATTGAACATATTAAAAATCAATTAGGATGATTATAAGCTTCTCTTCAATAAATTTCCTAGTAAATGTTGACGTGTTATAAACGGAACACTTGTTTACTGTCTGTAAATAAAGGATCGAAATATGGTAATTCAACAATTGAACATCATGGGGATCAAAAGAAATGCATTGAAACATCGAAATGTTCTAATCCCATGTCGTATCTCTCTATCATGGCTATTTAGTCATAAATTCAATGACTATATGAGTAGTTTGGAGCAAAAATGTTATACAGAAAAGTTGAGAGGAAAAATGTCAAATGAAAAGAGATAGCTATATAGTTCACTATACAATTTACTATATAGCTATCTCTTTTCCGCTCATTTATCATCGGAATTTTTCCGCTCAACTTTTCTGTATAACATTTTCGCTCCAAACTACTCATATATCGGCCACGATGCATTGCAAAAATATGTACCCAAAAGTGCACACCGATAGAGAGGGAGCGAAAGAGAAAGGACCATTTTTCGGTATAGAGGTATAGAACAAACAAATAATTAAGACCTCATATGCACTTACTAAGAAAAAAGACTTTTCCATTGTTTCTGCTTTTTTTTGTTGTTGTTGTTGAGCATGCATAATAAAAACCCAAAATAAAAAGATATTCACATTGTTGTTCGTTCGCCAATTTCCATTTCGTAGAAATATGTTCAAATGAAACCAATAATAACTAACATCGATAAGGATAATCTAAAATGGTTGGCTGTAAATCGGTAAAATCTGAATTTGTCCATTTCATTACTAATGGCCCTTACCTGCCCGAATATATGTGTATATAAGAATTGAACAAGGGAATTAATCTGAAAATGTTGCTGTGTTTCGCCTGCGCCTCTATTTATATATGCATGTACATGTTGAAAGAGACAAGAAATACACACACGCAAAGAAATGCCTTCCTGTGTTCATGTTGCAACGAAGAAAATCATTCGTTTGAAAAATTATTCAAACAATTAGAACATCATTTCCAATAGAAATTGTTATAAAATTCCAGACGCATATGCTAATCGACATTAAGTAGAACAGAGAATCGCGCATTGCAATTGCGTTGCATCCACGTATACCATGTTGTGGTATGTTTTGTTGTGAAAGAAATCCGAACAACCAAAGAAAAAGAGGGAACAGAACGGAACGGAACGATGGAATGAATCAAATAAAACGTGTGCAATGTGTGAAGAAATGCCATGGAGCTAGCGAAGCGCGACTTGAGAACTTTGATTCCATTTGTAAATGTTCATAATTGAATTAGAAATTTGCACATGTGCTCTACAAATTAAATGTCAATGCAAGCAAGCAAGCATTTCCAAGCTACAGTCGCTTCTTCTTTCAACCACTTAAAGCGCAAATAATTTTTCTCAACACAAGAGCATCGAGAATTGATTTGTTGGCATTTTGTCTGGACTCAATGGCAGGCAATTTGAAATTGTACGGAGCATCGTTAGAAGAGACCATAACTCCGACAAACTATCGACCGATGCAGCGTTTGAATTCGACGAAATGGAAACATTTGATGAAACATGAATCCAGAGTATGGGCTGCATATTTCCCGTTCTTTGTTTTATCGAAGTTGATTCAAGTTTCTAGTGGTGGGCCATTTTATACACACACACATATTGCAGCCGATTCGAATTGAACACATTAAAAACGACTAAGGTTCATGTGCACATCGATATGTTTGCACCACAGAAGAGACGAGAAATTTTCAAGTGAAAAAAAAAAATGGAAAAAATATCAAAAAGCCAGCACGAATGCATCGATCCTTTGATTTGAATGATTTTTCTTCGTTGACTTTCCAATGCCGATCATCACACGCACACAGCCCAGCCACATGTGTTTCATATTAAGTTTTATTTATTACATCGAATATGTCACCCCCATGTACAGTGATTTTTTTCCAATGGTTTTTTTTCCTCTCTTCTCACTGTCTCTCTTGATTTTGGACCTATCTACGTATTTGTATACGTGCATACAAGAGACGGACGCAGATAAATAGATTAATGCAACATTTTCAAAATTTAAATTATATGTGTGTTTGACGGCATTTCTATATGACCGTTTATAGATAAAAACCGATCTATTTGGAAAAATATAAGTTTGTGTGTGTATGTGTGTCTCTCTTATTTTCGCTTTGTAAATGGGATCCGATCCCGTTCGATGCTGTGCTGTAAATTAAGTAAAATATTGTCGAAAATGTGCTAGTTAGAAATGTTGGCATGTACGTGCGTTTTAATATGCAATTAGATGCAAGCTGCTGCTGGCATTCAGTTCGTATCGTTTTGGCCATGGCGACAAATCCAAAGGAGATCAAATTCAAGCGTCTCTCTATCGACTGACGCCGATCATGGCTTTTGGTTCACATTCATCGTTTCCGCTGCCATCGTCACCGTTGTTCGTTTTCTCTGTGTGGATAATTCAATTCAATCTAAATTAATATAGATTTTGTATTCGTCTATCGCTTGTAATCGTCGTCGTCTCATGTACGGCATCGCATTAACACTGCATCTCTTTAGATTATGCATTTAACATTGACCTA